CAAACTTATTCACCTGTATGTATGTACCCCTGAGCTCCCTAGTGCTGCTGGAGCATCAGAAGTTGGTATTGAAGGTCACTACACTCCGTTTTTCCTTTATAATTTACATATTCTCTCATCTAAATAATGATTCTCAGGAGGGAAAATGTGTTTGCAGTTAGTTTGGGTACAGTGGCTGTTCGTACGACACATGTGTAGTATTTGGCACCCTGACATGAGAAAGCTCTCAAGGGGTGTGTGATGTGTGATCGCTTTTGGTCACATTTCCTCTTCAGGTCCATTAAATCCCAAAAAAGGATTTGGGCAAGTGATAGACTAGCAGTAGAGCTGGCAGCAAACAAAGAATAAAACACTGTCTTTCACGTCTCCCCTTGCTCCCCCTCCAGGACTGCAGGTGATACTGAACATCAAGCAGAGGGAGGTCCAGGACCACCTCTAGGTCCTCAGGCCTCCTCCATAAATGCCTCCTGCTGCCCCTCACTCCTTCTTGAAGCCAGTCTCTGAATGCCCCCTACTTTGTCAGCACACCCCTCCCCTGCTCTGCTCTCCCCATTCCTGGCCCTTGCCGAGGCAGAGCGGCGCAGCCTTTCCTTGTACCATGTTCATGAGCACCAGAGAGATCAGCTCCGTTTCATTCCAGTATGTGCATGGGGGGGTTGTTGGAATTTCAGCTCCAATTCTGGGCAGTTTTGCTTTCCAAGCACTCCCCTTCCAGCTGGGACAGGGCACACACCAAGGACGGTCATCAGTGCTTTGTGGAACTGCCTGGTGCCCAACAGGAGCATCTCCAGGATGGAACCATCTGACCTTAAATCTGAGCTGCTTCATCCTTGAGGGTGTCCCTCACTCAACATTTTTGGGACTTCTTTGCAGCTTACTTTTAAAGTTTGCCTCACCACTAAAGGTCAGCCTTGCTAATGTTTCCATGCTCAGTGCTGCAAAATATTTATTTGGCAAAAGACAGAACAACCCCAGTGTGGCACATGATGGAAGCTTCTCAGGTTCAACCACAAAATGTGCTTTTTTTAGCAAGATAAAGCACATTTCCCAGAGGTGTGTGGGTGAGGGTTTTTTCAGTGGTAACCAGCACCCCAGAACCAACTCCCTAGGCACTGTCACCCCTTCCCCTGTCCCTGCCCCCCCCGAGGCTGGCAGGTATGGTGGAGGCATCGGGTGGGCACCGTCCCACAGCGGGCAGCGTGAGGCAGGGGATCAGTAACTGAACAGGAGGGACAGGATCTGCTTGGCTCTGGTCCCCCAGATCCCACCATATGCCCCCCACACCTTTCTGCACCAGACACACAAACCATGTTCTTCCCAGTCACGTTGGTTTTGATATCTGCCAACTGCACTATAAAACAGTAAATGAGAATTATATAAGAACATCTCCTGCTGTCAGGTTTGGGGGTTTTTTTTAGATCCTGAAAGTTCATTTCCTTTCTCTACAATTTAACTTTGCATTTCCCATCATCACTGGCAGTCATTTCAACATGGCACGGACATCACTGTATTGGAAAATAATTACAATGACAGATTTTGTTTTGCTGTATGAGACCTTCCACTATTGAATCTAATTACTGCTGATACTTTATGAGCTCCTCCAGCATGAGATAATTGCTGCTTTCTCTTTTTAGGAGCAAGAAATAATCAGTTGTCTTTTAAGGTGAGAAATATAAACAGCAATTAAATATCACAGCTATCCAGCCCTTCTCATCAGCAGGCACCTCTCCTCAGAGAACCAACACAGAAGGTTAGACTTCATTTGTCATTTGCACCAAATACTTGTTTTAATGGAGGTGAGAGGGAGGGAATAAGGAACTCTCTCAAATGATCAATAATTTTCTCCAGATGATGAAATACTTATTTTAATATAGAGAAGCAGCAGCATCTCACAAGCAAAGCAGTGTGGTTACAAGTCACAGTGCTCAGTATCAGCACCAAGCCCTTTGCAGGGTCTGGCCTCGGGGAAAAGCTTCAGAGACAGCAACAGGCTGGAGCATTGGGGGGCACAAAACCACACTTGGATCCTACCAAAACCTTCTGCTTTGGCAGTCTTTTCCCTGATCCAGTGTTTCTAAATATATATTTATATGTACATATCTCCTAAACATCATGACATCAGCATGGGGCCCTTGGTTACAGCATCACAAGCGGAGGAGATGGAGCAGAAGACCTTTATGTGGGGACTCATCAGACAAGTGGAAGCTCACACCAGGTTTTGCAGTCCTGGGATGGATCTTGTCACTGAGGCTGAAGCCTTATCCTGTGGTGTGGTCCCAGGCCTGGAGCAAATAAAACACCCCTGCCACATCCTCCAGGCTGGGGTGGGGTGTGGGAACACACATCAGCTGGAAGCTGGTGAGAAGACCTCAGCCAGACTATTTTATCAGTTCAGATCATAAGAAGCCACCTTATGACACTCTGTTTTAGCAGTCCTGACACTAAAACCAGAAAGTCTAGTAAACAAAAACTTTTTGTTTGCTTGTTTCAGGGAAAATATATAGAGAAAAAACCTCACATTTCAAAAAAAAAGCACTAATGGTTTGCACTCAGGAAAAACTTCTGATGCTGCCTGGAAGTCTGTCCTATGTGGACACTGGAGATGACTTTCTCTACTACCTACAACAGCTTATTTTATGGTCTGGCTTTGGCTTTGTTTGTTGTTTTTTTTCCCTTCAGCTCTTTATTTGAACAAAGCACCTGTGTTTGAATAATTCACTGAAGTTTGTACCACTTTGTTCACAAAATCACAGCAGGGAGCGATGTTTTTAATTAAATACTTCTTTGCCAGCTCCTCTCTGTGAAGGAGTCTTGCTCCATTTGCTCGCTTGGCCAAAATTTTGCTAGACTGATAAGAGCAACACACCCCACAGGCTGGTAAAATGAGGGGATTAGGGGATGCTGGGATGGCACCCCTTCGTCTGGCTTTAGCCATCTAGAAAGGAAATGTCTGCATTTGACATGAAGAGTGTTGTGATCCTTCAGCGTCACAGGAGGAAGACGCCTCCAGTGCTCTGGATCTCACCAGTTCCCTCCATAAGATCATAATAGAGGTGACCAGCTCAGGTTTAGGTAAATAACCTTTACTCATTGCAGTTGAGGCAGGTGGATCCTGCCACAAGTTGCTGAATCAAAGAGGGAGAAAGATGCTCATCTTATGAAGGCAATGGATGGTGATTATGAATAACCATCCTGCTTTTGCTGCAAATTTCTTATGCATGGTAAGAAATGCCTCAGATGCCCAATTCATAAACAGGGAATAAGCCATCCTCCTCTTGCAAAATACTGGAGGATATATATATCACATATATTAACCTCACATTTGAAAAGCAATGGTGGAAGGCATCACAAATAGCAAGTTGGAGTGAATTACTGAGATATCTACTAGTATGTTAACATGTATTTAAAATACATAGCTGGTAAATCTGACTGCCAGAAAATTTGCTATAATAATAATGAATATAAATGAAGTATGAACAGACTCAGCAACTTAATTGGAAAAAAAAAAAACCTATTATTGTTGTCCTCGGTATTTTTACCCTCTCATAATGTTGATAAAAACTTCACAAACACTTCAGACAGGTCAGTGCTTGGACAGACTTTTGCCTCTAGTTTATTATGGCAAGACATCAACATGTGAAACATGTGGCTTCACTTTCTATGTTGTCCTTCTCACAAACATTAAAAAGGATGGATTTCGATCAAGCGAAGAAATCAGGCTCTTTACTCAGCAACTAGGGGGGAGAGAAATTTGCTGTTTCCCATTCTAACTCCTACAACTTCTTATCATTACCACATCTTTAATGTGGAGTAATTTGAGTTTCTCCTTTAGCTTCAAAGATAAATGGAAGGGAGATTTCAATTTGGATTACTCGGAGGAGGGCTGCAGTTGAATTGGGAGTTCCTTACAGGTGCTTGGAAAAAGCAAAACCTTCCTCCTTGGCTTGGTCCTCAGTGCACCACATAACTGCTCACCAGTGAAGAGGAAGACTACTTTTCTCTCGTAACATAAAAGAATGATGCAAATACCACTGAAAGTAGAAATGGGAGAAGGATCGATTATCCTGAGGTAATAAATATCACCACTACAGCCCATTTACTTTATTAAGTGGTATAAAAAGGACAGACAAATGGTTTCAAAGAAACAAGAGCTCTATAAACACTTCTGGTAAGACACCAAATGAATGGTGCACCTCTCAGCGGGGATGTTTATCTGGTACATGAGTTCAGATTTTCTATTCACAGTATTCATAAATAAACTTCAATATGTTTCTTGATCAGTGTCACTGTCCAGTAGCCCATTATTAACAGTATCATTAAGGTACATGGTGTATTTTTTAAGAAACTACACATATAAAGTAGGACATTATGTCTCAGTTTTGGCACCTGCATGATTCCCCTGTAGTCCTTCAAACACACAGCCCTCTAGTTTCTAAGACAGCAGCTGCACAGACGAGTGACCATATTTCTGTAACTCTGGATGCTTTCCAACATGGAAGCTGTACTTAATGGCATCTCTATAATACGATGTTTCCAGAAGTATTTCCAACAACTCTAATAAGAGCTCATGCATTCAAAATCCCACCTAAGAGCCCCCAAGACATCTGAAGACAATTTGTCTGAAGACTCCCTTGTCTGAAGACAAGTGGAGCACCTTCATACTCAGGCAACCAGAGAGTAAACCATGGCACAGCCAAGACTGCCTGTCAGACTGAGGTGCTCTGCAACAAAGCTTCCATGCCACCATCTACTGTACATGACGTTGGCACCTTGGTCACAATCTGGCCAAGATTTTCAAGATTAATCTGCTGTTAACACATAACAAATCCACTGTTGTCATGTTGCTGTGACAATCCACTTACCACACAAATGCAACAGCACGAGGAGACAACGCTGCTGAACAGGGTAAAGTCCTTCAGATTTAGATGCTCTGTTAATGTAACATTTGCACTGTTTGCTGTGAGCCCATGGAGGATAAGGCACAGGTAAGGCGGACTCACCCGCTTGGTGTAGTCCATTGCCTTCAGGATGGAAAGGTTCAGCGTCTCCAGTGAGGCCAAGACATCTTCGTAGTCTCCCATATGGTCAGCAAAATAGTCTGGGAAAACCAAGAGGGACACGATGGGAATTGTTGATGTAACTTAACACTTCAAGGTTTGACACCGCAAGGTTTATTCATTGGTGAGAAGAAAAACATGAGAGGGTGGTTTTAGGCATATTTTTATATTCTATATCTTGAGACAAAGTCACAGCTTGTCCTGCAGGGATGGGAAGTGATGAAATTCTTAGGACCATTGCAAAAAAGAGATGTAAGGCACAGTAGCTCCCACTGAAAATAACTTAGCAGGTGCTTTATTTCCATCCCCACTTCTGCATTTGACCGTATTTTGGCTCTTTTCCTTCTATTGCCAACATGGAGGGAGAAGTCTCAAAAGAAATCCCCTTTCCACTCCCTTGACAGTCTTTACCACTCAAAGCACCCAAATACCTGCCAGGTTCACCGCAATTTATATGGGCTAAGACTGGCCTTACATCTTTTCCTACATTCCCATCACATTTGCACCTCAGCCCACAATCACAGGTTGCACAGGCTTCTGAGAGCAAAATACACCCCAAAAGGAAGAAAACGGAGCTGCAAGCTGGGCCCAAAAGCACATGTTCTCCACAGAGATGGAGTCCACACTTTCTCTGTGCCATCCTCATCCCTCCCGAGGGGGGGGTGATCCCATGGAGTGATCCATGCCAGGCTGCACAGCAGCTCTGGCAGCAGCCACCCTCAATCTCAGCCACTCTTCACTGATGTAAAATACAGCCAAAATTGGTGTGTCCCCAAGCAGCCCATGACTCCATGTCCCCTGTGAGCCCTGGTACGGTTTTGTGCGTGAGCTACAGAGTCCTGAAATAGGCCATTCACAACAGAAACAGCGAGATGTGAAGCGCGGCAGCAAGGCATGCAGTGAATTTGCAGCGTAGATGCAAAGTTACCCAGTTTCTGGGTGATTGACATAGACTACAGCTAAAAGCTGTTCCTTAAAAGCCACCAGTGCTGTTCCTTAGTGCTAAGACACGAAGCTTCACACCGAGGTGACATCTCTGCGGAATACAAGAAGACATAAACTCCAGGAAACAATCCCACTAATTAGGTTCTCTTGGCTTAATTAGAAGTGCCTATAGCTATTTACAGCCTGTGAACATATCCAAAGGGAAGAAGATTTTGGCAGAAACTGGAATGTCACAGCATGATTGACAGCAGCTGTTTGCTGTTCCATGATAAACCAAACAGCTTGTTCTCACTGCAGCATATTTACTTGTGTTATTCTTCTTATCATTACTTTACTTGGGAAAGAAAAACTGAGCAAATCTTTAAAGGTAAAGAAAAACTATTTTTATAAGTCTCAAAATAAAAAGCTGAACCCATACATTTCAGGAGAAATGAGCTACTGTGGGCAAAGCACAGCCCTCCAGACCAAGGAGTACCTGGGAGGAGAACAGCGTTGACTTAACCGAAGTATTCAGTGCTACCATTTCAATCTTATTTATTCACATGAACATCTGAGATCAGCTCTTCCTATCCTGCATGGTTCTTGCTGATGGTTCCTACACGTCTGTGGACAACAGTGGAATCAGCGCCCAGGAGATGAGCCCCGTTGAACCTAGGGCTGGTGTGGGAAGAGGTGGGTGCCCCCCACCCAATGTTTCCCCAGCAAAGCCATTGCCCACCAGCTCAGTAGTCTGCCCTGGGTCACTGTGCATCTCCCATTTCTAGAGCACATCTCAGCTGGCCGGGCAGCTTGTTCCATTGCATGTGATGTCAGTGTGCTTCATTTAATCTGAAGGGTGGTAGGTACAATTTGGTAGCTGTACATGCATTTTCTGGGTATATTAATCATTGCAAGCTGTCTTATGACTGGGAGCTCCTCTGGGGGTGAGGGGCTACACAGTCACATTTAAGTCAGCCTAGGTGCTGGTGACTGTTGTGTTAGTTGGCAAAGAAAAAAAAAAACAACAGAACTTTGTAAGATACTAGCTGATACAGATTAAGCCATATAAAATTTCTCATATAAGCTGCAGGGATCAAGAAATCCCTTTTAAGATGCTCTCAACTTCCTGCAACATGCAACCCGTTTCAAGAGAGAGACCACAGCTTCCATTTAGCCAAAATGAGGTTTTATATTTAAACTAACACTTAGAAGAGTAGCAAGCAAATAATAAATTGCAGGCAAGGGCAGGTATTCAGCAGATAATGGATCTAGGCAGGATCTCGTGCTGATCAATCCTTCCCCCAGCTTCCCACAGGAGCTGATGGCTTTATCTCCCTCCTCTCCTGGCAGCTTTGCCCCTCTGAGAGAGGCAGTGAGGTGGGATCATGCTGAGTGACAGCCATGTGATTTTCTGATTTTATCAGACTGATGGAGGAAACAGAGTGGGGTCAAGCAGTGACATTACTACCCTTGCATTTCCTGGTAAAGTTGATAGCACAGGCTGTGAGGGTTTGGTTTCTTGGGTCAGCTGGCAAGGACACCTAATGCAATAAGAAAGGAGTGATGGGAACAAGCCCACCCTATTGTCAGCAAACCAAAAGGATTTTATGGAAGATTTAGATTCTTGTGTACCAAAACAACAAGAAGTGAGGATAACTAGCTAAAAGTGTGCTGCAGGCTTGAATGCTCAAAATCCTGCTGCATGCTGTGGTGAGAAGGGCAGAGTGTTGGCAGGGGCTAAGTACACTGGGAGGAGCAAAACCCTAGGCAGACCCGGCAGGCTCTGATGGACAGAAAGGTCTTAAAGGTGTTGGGAGTAACAAATAACTGTCTGGTGCTGGCACAGGCACCCCAGCAAGCCCCTTTCTGGCTCAGCCATACCTCTGAAGGCTGTAATTAGTGGCAAAGCGATGACGGTAAATGATGAGGGCCTGCTGAGATGGCTTCATGTGTTCTTCAGCGTCCTGGCATGGGAGGGGAGGAGAAGAGGTGGATCAGCTCTCTGCAAGGCCACCTACCTCTGTCTCCCCATCTCCTCCCAAAAAGCTGGGGCACAGGAAACATTTCCCAATAACACATGTCCATGGAAAAATACACCCAAGTGAGCAGCAGGAGCCCTGTGTCGTCACCTATCGAGGCAAAGCCCTTCAGAAATCCTGTCAGGAAATACACCCTTTCTGGTCAAGGTGTGGGACAAAACACTATCAGAGATTTTTTTTTCAGCTTTTAATTTCTGCAAGCTGTGGGAGGTATAGCAGAGGTGGTGTACACCTTAGGCAGCCTGCTGGGAAACACTAAGGTTTGCCTAAGGAGAAACATATTATGGGTACTGCAGAGGGATACTGCTTTATTGTACTTCAGAGTGGAGCTGGAAGCCACGACACTGCCAGAAATTAAACTCTGCTTGTCACTGAATGGGACCATGTGCTCCGCTCAGCTCTGACCCCGTCTGTGTTGCAAGAAAATGAAGAAAAGCTTTGCCAGTTTTCCTGTGGACTAAGGGATGAAGCAGCATAAGTGCTGAGAACCCCCAGCTCCGCAGCGGCCACGGCACCACCAGCTTTGTAACAGGTTTCACACATCCTTTGAAAGCACACATGCACGTAGCAACTGCGCTTGTCCTGAGAGAGGAACCACACTCACCACACAGCTCCTTGGTGTCCACGTTGCTGGAAGAGGGGGAGGACGAGGCAGGGGAGGAAGCAGGAAAAAAAAAGAGAAAGAAGATTTTAATGTAAAGGACAAAGGATACACTTAGGATTTCTGCAGGCTTAATGCCAGACACCTGCCCCCTCAGCATCCCCCTGCCACTGGTGGGGACAGCCTAAGGAGAAGGCAATGGTTGGTGCCACTCAGGGCATCCACACACCTCTGCATCTTCAGCATTCACGCAGCTGGGACAAGTTCACACGTTATTTTGGCTTTTCCCTGAGGGGAACCTGTGCGTCCCCCCCAAGGGTGGACCTGTGTCTATGGGGGACTCTGTACCCACTTGTCACAGTAACTCCTCTGCCTTCCTCCCAAATATCTACCCCAGTGAGGCACCCGGTGTGGAACAGGAATCTGTTTGCTCCCATTTGCTTGGAATAAAAATTTGCAAAATTTACTTTCCTAGAGGAATCAGTTCTCCCAGTTCTGCTGCTGCAAAGAATCCATGGGGCTGTGCACAGTTCCTGCCCAGGACTCCCTCTGGACAAAACTGCACAATTACTTCTTAATACAGGAACATTTAGTTCGTGTAATGAAATCTCAACAGACAATCTGCTCAGGAAATAAAGGTTGCTGCTAATCTCTTTGTGCCTCAGATTCCCACACAATTATTAGTGCCATTCAAGCACTGGAATGATCTCTTAATATAATTATATTTTACCAATCCACTGATGTCCTGGAAAGCTATTTCTTTAACTAAACTCATCCCTTCTCTGTCTGACCTGTCAACATAAGTGAATTAAGGAAAGAAATGTTTTCAATACTGCTTTTGTTAGCGGCATCCTCCTGCAGCCCTGCCCCAGACTCCAAAATCCTCCTGAGCACTTGCTTGTGCCCTGACCGACAGGTCTGCTCCAAGCTCACCGGACCTGGGCTCTTCCCTCCCTCCGTGACCTGAAGCTTTCATTCACTGCTGGCCCTCTCTTGGGATGAGACATCCTTCAGCCAGGATGATGTACGATGGGAAAGCATTAATTTGGGACTGCTCTTCGCCACCAAGGCCACACTTGAACCCTGTCACTGAGGATTCACAACACAAAGCACAGTGCCTTTGCAGCAAGCTGAAGTACCCAGGAAAATCTCATCTCTGCTGAAATCTTTTGCCGTCCTCTGCAGCAGGCTCAAGCATTCAAGTGAGCAGAGCAGCCTCACTGGGCTGTGTGTGACAGTGGAACAGGGCACAGGCTGCATTTCCCACTCAGATAGTGTTATCAAGAGAGCTTCTGCCTTAGCAGAGAGACTAATATAGGAAATTTTTTTCTTTCTATTTAGGCTCTGCCAAATCTGAGGAGAGGCAAGTTCCTGCAGCTCAGAGACCCTGCCGGCCTCTCACTAGATGCATTTCATCCCCTAGGTGCAATAGCCAGGTGCATGACAGCCATGTAGAAACACAAGTGTGTGCTAGTGATATCTGGGGAGGAAATTCCCCAAATTCACAGTGCCACTCGAGCCCAGGTTGTTGCTAAAATCAGAGCCCCAGGTGACGGTACTGGCGACCCCTTTACCACCACTCCTGAGCTGTGGACCTGTCAGGTGCTGGAGGCGAACACACACATCCTGTGAGATGCTGTCTGCCAGAAAGGTACCGCCCAACCCATCTCATGTTACTGAATCACACAACCTTTTGGGTAACTGATATCTGTCACGGTATATAAAAGTCATCTCCCACCTCAGACACCTTCATGGTGCAGGATACACAGCGTGGCAGCAGCTGGCAGCAAACACGCTGGCACAAGCTTCTGCTGGAGGTGCAAGTGGCACATGCATCTCTCTGAAAAATGAGCTTTCACAGTACTTTATCTTAATTCCCTGAGAGATTTATCATCTTTCTAAAACCCTGGAATTACTTCACTGCATCCTACAAAACTCCCCAGGGATCCTGAGAGCTCAGTTTCCCTGACTTGATGTTCTAATGCCCAAATCCACAGAATATGGAGATTTGAAATGCTACCCAAAAGAGCCTGCTCCTGAGCAAACAGGCCACAGCTTTGGCAGCCTGTGATTGCTAACATGGAGACTCAGCAATTCACAGGCAGAGAAAATTCAGGAGGGGAAGAATCCCAGAAGATGCATTTCTAACACTGGCACAGCCCCATACCTGCCCAAGGACCACGGCTGGTCTTTTATCAAAGCCCTTGTCAGCATAGACCATGGAAAGTCAACCAATACTCTCAGGCATATGTACAGGAGTAGTTTTTACAACAGCATCACCTACAAAGTACTTAAATAATACTTTTCAGAAGCCACTTAGTATTTATAAACACCTAATGAAGTGGTTATGGGTTTGCAGCTAGGGGACATCACTGAGAAAAAATCTATTATTGTATTCCACATGGTTTTGCATTCCAATAATTGATCTGCTGCTGCCAAAAAAGGCCTTTTATTTCCTCACATCCTGACATCATATTAAACTTAATTGTGCTTGAATGTTAACTTGGCTGAGAAGCTGCTTTTAATTTTAAGACATCTTTTGTTAAGAGTAAGCCCAATTAAAGAAATTACTGAAGTCATAAACTGACTTAATAAAAAAAATATGATAATGTTCAGATGAAAATTTGTAAGGAGAAATCAATGAGTACTTGAGCAGGACCATGGCATTTCCTGGGATGTTTCCATCCCACAGGAGCATGTCCATCGGGAAGCTCACTGACAGACAGCCACATCCCCATCAGTGTTACTGGGGTTTTATTGCTCGACATGGGTGCTGCACAGCTGAACATGCAACACAAGGGATGTGCAATACCCAGACAGAAAACAATTTACAAGCTGCTCTGGTGGTTTGATGCTAACCACCCCATAGGTTATGCCACCAGGATTTTTTATGTTACAAATACTGAGGATCTGGTTTTCAAACCTTGTGAAATGGGAGGTGGTGGTTCCCCACGAATACCCTTGCCATCCTTAACCCTTCATCCTAGCACTGTCCTTCACTGGAGATTTTTAGAATGGTCACATATCATGAAGCCCTTCAACATGAAAACGTTTAGGTGAGCATTAGTTACCAATTTTTTTCATCTGCCAAATATTCAATATTCCTGTAAGCCACAATAAACTAAAAAGAAAAATCATTACAGGTTGTTCTCATTTTCTCAGGAAAAAAAAATAATTTTTTCAGCCACCAGAACACTTGGTTGTGAGTTAGCTTTTAATTTTATGATTCTTTACATTAATAGTATGACTAATTAAATAACTTATTGAAGCCATAACCCATCTAAGAAGAATATAATAATGTTCAAACAAAACTTTAAATGAAGACATCATTAAAGACTTCTGTGTTAGACAGTTTTCTTCTGCATAGTAGAGGCCCATCTGATTTCTTTCCAGAACAAAAATCTTTCTTTCAAAGCAGAAAAAAAAATCAAGAAAATCCAGGTCTTTCTGGTTTCAGGCTTTCTTCTTTGTTTTCCAACCAAAGAAGCTGTAACATGGAGCAGCACAACCTTGCATCCCCAATCTTGCTGGGGATGTGCACCCTCTCAGATTACTTTCCAAAGCAAAGATATACTTTGGAGAACTTCCATTTGCCACTTGGGACCTAATTTCTCTGACAGAAATACGAACCAAACACAACAGCTCAGCTTTCAACCTAGAGCACCTTCTGAAAAATCAGTCCAAGCCATAAACTAATTTGGCCACAAAAAGGACTGTTTATTGCTCACTGCCCACCACCATTTAAATACACTGGGATAATTTGACCTGATAAACACACTGACAATAGGGAAATTGTTTTTCCTGCTGGTTCACATTCAACTATTTCAAAGAAAAAGAAACGTTCTCAACGCGTGATACTCCTCCCTTGTACGTGGGCGTTTAAAGAGCAACAACCATGCTGCAAGAGCATCTACTCAGTGGGCTTAATTAAGTGAATTTGCCCAGAGAGTAATTACTGCTGCACGACCAGCAAGAGGAAGAGGCTGCCCAGAGTAATCACTGTGCCTCCTGTGTACTCCAGAGAGAAATAAATTTCTCCCCCCAAAATCCCATCCAATGTTAAAATGCAGTTTGATGAGTGCCTGAACTAATGAGGATCCCTGGGAAGTCACATTTTTGCCTTGCCGTGTCCCTGATTGCAGATTATCTAGCAAATGGGCTTTTATCAGAGTTGTCCCTGTACTGACTTTCTGCCGCTCTTCCATCGGTTCAAAGACTTATAAGCCTTTTTCTTCTCTGCCTGCCTTTCTTGAAACGCTGCCATCTTTGAGACTTTATTCCAGGGAACAGTGGGGTGGCAACACCAGACCAGAGAGCATGTGGCAGCAGGGTGTCCAACAGCCCAGGGATTACAAGCTGAAGCTGAGCATCCCAGCAGTCAGATCTCTGGGTGGGTGACGGTCCCCCATGCAACCTCCAGGTCTCAGGTCAGAAGCTCCAGCTACATTGATCCAGATCAAACCAACACTTTGTTTAAGAAATCAGCATTTTCCATCAGGAAAACATGCATTTCTGGAAATTTCCCACCATGAGTATTAGCTTTAGCTCTTAATAAGCAAGCCCAGTGCAGTGCAGCACAGCACTGGAAGGGGTTACCCAGAGAGCATCCCAGGAGGTCTTCAGGACTCAGCATGGCAAAGCCAGGGCTGTCCTGGTCCCACTCCTAGGCACTAGAGCCCTGCAGAGGTCCCTTCCAAAATGGCTGTGAGTCTACAACCCAGCATCAGTCCCTCACTTTCCCAGCATCTCCCTGTCTCCCTAAGACAAGGCTGATGGCCTCTGACTTGCTGTTGTTAATGTATTTCTCCAGACTTCTCTTCAATTATAGAGAGGAGCAGAAAAGTTATCTCAGAATGGAAAAGATAATGTGGAGGAGTGGAGCATGAAATTCCCTTCTTGGGTTCCAGCTCACCCAAGGGAAAGGTGTCCCAGGCTCTCCCAATGGGCAGCACAATCAAAAACATAATGGGAATTCAAAAGTTGCAAATACATCCAAGTCTCATCTTCACAGCATATTTCTCATTCAAAT